GGGAAAGCAGAAAATGAACCACATGCACAACTGAGTTCCTAAAGTCTTAGAAATGATGGTGCTACTTCTTCTAAATGGAGGCTATGATGAGAATTGGTGGAATGTTTCAGAAGCTAAGAGTCCGTTCTCAACCCCAACCTTCAGTTGCCCCTTTTAAAACGCAGGCAGAGACTAGATGCTAGGGATAGAGGAATAGGTCTCAGGCCTGGAAGCACCAGATCGATTGAAGGTGGAGATATCACCCTCCATGTGGGGTGCTAGTTGTGGAGACTCCCCCTTCCTCCCCCACTTGGTCCCAGACATCAACAGCAAGGCCTTTCCCATCCAGGCAAGAAATTCTTTGTTTCCTAGATTTTGGGGAAGTCTGACCAAACCAAAAGCAAAGAGGAAAGACACTGGCGCTTGAAACACCATTGAAACACCAAGCACACCACTCTGCATTGGGATGCAGTATCTTCACCTGTGTACTCAGGTTTCTGTCAGCTCTGACCCTGGAGCAGAGTCCTTGCATCAATGACAGAGACCAAAACAATAAAAAAAATAAATTTTTTTTGAGAGATTTTTGCTATAGGGCACTTGCGCTCGCCAGAAAGACAGAGAGACAGAGAGACAGAAAGTGAGAAATCACCCTCCAGGGGGGATGGCCATGCCACAATCCCTTCTCCTCCATTCTCCTCTCGGGATCTTGGGCACGCATGCACATGCACCCGGCGTGAGTTTAAGGCACGCACATGCACCCGGCGTGAGCTTAAGCCACTGGGTCCGGGACTCGAACTGTGGTCAACATGAGAGTCCAGCAACATAGCCATTATGCTAACTGCTGGTCCCGAGACCAAAGCAATTCTAAGAGGACCTTGTAGGAAATAGGAGTGGTGCAAGAAGTTAAAAAAAAAAAAAAATGGGAGCCAGCCAGGTGGCATGGTGGTTAAGGAAGTAGGATCCCACATGGCCGATTGCATGTTTCAAGTCCTGGATCTAGTGGCTTGAAAAACATGCCAGCACATGTGCAGTGTGTGCCCAAAATCTCAAGAGGAGAATGGAGGAGAAGGGACTGTGGCATGGCTATCCCTCTGGGGGATGATTTCTCACTTTCCTTCTCACTTTCTCTCTCTAGCAAGTGAGTACACGCACCTTACAGCAAACAAAACAAAACTATAGTTAACGTCCTCATCAAGGTAAGAGAAGATACCGCAATCATGAAACAGAAAAGAATGCACTACCAAAAATAAATCAATGAAATAAAAGGAAAAAAGAACATTCAGAAAACAGAAGAGAGATGATAGGAATTTAAAATATAACAAAATTAGGGGCCAGCAGGTAGTGTAGTGGTTAAGGTGTTGCACTCCCGCATGGCCAGCTACTGTTCAAGTCTTGGACCTGGCAGCTTGAAACTCATGCTGGACACATGTGTGTGCATGCCCAAAATCCCAAGAGGAGAATGGAGGAGAAAGGATTGTGGCCTGGTCATCCCCGGGGGGATAATTTCTCACTTTTTTTCTGTCTCTCCAGCAAGCACGCACTATAGGGGGAAAAAAAAAATCTCTCTAGGGACCAGCAAATGGCATAATGGTTATGTTGCTGGGCTCCCATGCAGTCAACCATAGTTATAGTCCTGGACTCGGCAACTTAAAATTCACTCTATGTATAAGTGTGTGTGTGCCCAAGATCCTGAGAAGAGAAGAGAAGGGATTATGGCATGGCCATGCCCCTGGGGAGTGGTTTCTCACTTTCTGTCTCTCTGTCTCTCTCTGTCTTTTTGGCAAATGCATGCGCCTTATAGCAAAAACCTCTCAAAAAAACCAAAAAAAAAACAAACAAAAAAAAAAACAAGAATCAGGATGACTTTGGATTTCCCACCAGAACCTCAGGGTTCAGAAGATAATGGAGAAATACCCTCAAAATGCTAAAGAAAAAGATTTTTCAAATTGGATTGCTATATCCAGCCAAGTTTTTATTAATATCTAAAGAGATATTTGCAGATGTATCCTGTCTCCAAAAGATTACCTCCAATTCATCTTTTCTCAGAAAACTACTAGAGGATGTGCTCTACCAAAAATAAGGAAGTAGGTCAAGAAAGAGAAAGATGTGGGATACAGAGGTTTAAAATTGTGATTCGCGAATCTTAATATTGTGCCACAAAACATGTTTCAGTTGCGCATGTGTGCTATAAATAGCTGTCCTAAAGGTAATACAGTATTGACCTCACTGATTGTGATAGAATAATATTAGGAGGAAGATTTAAAAAGGTATCCCTGTGAAGGAATAGGCAGGGGAAGAAAGGGGAAAAAATCTAGATAATGTTAAGATGAAGAAAAATCTAGATTGTTATGAGCATGCTATTTAGAAATAGATTTCTTTCTCTCTTTTTTTGGAAAGGTTTTTGCTATAGGGTGTGTGTGCTCGCCAGAAAGACAGAGAGAGACAGAAAGTGAGAAATCACCCCCCCCCGACTGGGGGGGATGGCCACGCCACAATCCCTTCTCCTCCATTCTCCTCTCAGGATCTTGGGCATGCACACACATATGCCTGGCATGAGTTTAAGCCACTGGGTCCGGGACTCGAACTGCGGTCAACTACACGGGAGTCCAGCGACATAGCCATTACGCCAACTGCTGGTCTCTAAAATAGATTTCTAAAGAATCTGCTGGAAGAATTGAAAGTGGTAGCCTTGGGAAGGGACAAATGAGAAGGAGGAAGGCTGAAGGCCCCTGTCTTTCATGACAAGCATTATAGCATGTGATTAGTTAAGCAATGTGCATGAATGCCTGATAAAGCCAAAAACTATAAACAAAGGAAATGGGCTTAATGGAGTAGTAACCTCTCCAGGCATGGATGGGAATCTCACCCCTAGGACTCAGGGGCCAGGAGATAGTTGAGAAATGACCAGGACCACAGTGGCCCAGGAGATAGGGACCCACCCTGAGCCAGAGGGCAGGGCAGGGCCATGGCTGGAAATACGGGCTGTAGCTTTCCACCACCCCAGTGGGAATCTGGCTCTGTGCTGTCAGCTACATTTCTCTGGGCCAGCTGCTTGGACACCCTAAGCTCAGAGTCTCCACTGTAGGATGGTACAGGTAGTGCCTATCCGGACTGCTGGGAATGGCTAGTGAGGACTGCAGCCTTGCTCACTAAGAGGAGGCTGACAACATTAAGTGCACGGCCACCTTGTTGGACATGGCTTGTAACTGCTGCTTTCGCTCTTGAAGCTCTTTCTGTAGCATCTCATTTTCCATATTGATCTTACGCAGTTGAGATTCTTGAAAATCCACTTGTCGTTGTAAGGACATGATGGTTCCTGAGAGCAGAGTGGGAGTGGATAGCAAGAGTAAGATGGGGTGATGGAGAATAACAGAGGGTCCAGGTCCTCCATGGAGGTGCTCTGAGACCAGATGAACTCCTGTCCCTCCTACCCACTGGGCAGAACTGGCAGTGACTGGGCATTCCAACCTCTGGGCTGGGACCTTCTGGTCCTGCCCCTGCCCAGCATCCTGGGACATCCTACCTGTCGCAAGGGAGTATCTGGTCCTGGTGATCTCCAGCTCGTACTGGAACTCCAGGATCATCTGCTCATACTCCTCCAGCTGGGCGATCAGCTCTTCTTCGAATGACTCGTCCAAGGAGTAGGCCCTCTTCCTGAAGACCTCCTCCTCTTCTGGCAGCTCCCTCTTCTCCTCTTCATCCTCCTCATCTTTTTCTTGTTCTTCTTCCTCCTCCTCTTCCTTACTACCCTCCTCATGCTCAGAACCCCTCTTGCCTGTGCTTCCCTTTGCTCTTATTTCCTCCACCTCCTTGTGCTCCCCTTCCATGCCCTCTTTCTCCTCATCACCTCCTAATTCCAGCTCTTTGCCTCTCTCGGTCACAGCAAGCTCCTCTTGCATCTAGGAGAGAAGAGAGAAAGGGGGCTGATGGGAGGCCCCAAGGCAGCAGGAAGAACTCCTGGGAGGGTGCCTGATTCCAGATTGCTATGAAGTCCAGAGAGAAAGGAGCACCCTCTGGGCAGCATGTCACCAATGCTGCCCTGGGCACTGTGGACTCGGGAGATACACTGCAAGTGACCTGAGCACTGTCCCTGCTCCCCTCAAGGGTGGTGGACAGCCTGCACGTGGTAGAGGTACACCCCTGGCCTAGACTGCCTCAGCACCCAGTCTCTAGCACAGACCCAGGAAGCCCTGGAGATGAATCTGAGCAGCCTCAGAGGTCCCTGGGGCAGGGACCAAACCTGCAACCTCAGCATCCAGGCCAGCCTCATACCTGCTTCCAGCACTGCATCTCTTCTCCTTCTCTGGAGAAGGACTTCGGGATGCTCGGCCTCCACAGCTTTAGCGTAGCCTCCGAGTGCCACTCCTGCAAGATGTCCATGTGAACCCCAGGCTTTCCAGCTACTCCCTAGGGGCCCTAGGTCATGTACAGCTGCTACCTCCCCTCCTGGAAGGGTACCAAAGCCTGTCCATGTCCAAATGGAAAGGCCCGCATTGTCCTGCCAAGAGCACAGGGGAAGTGAGGACCATGCAAATGAGTGACCCCAGGAGACAGAAGGCCTTTGGTTCCCAGAACAGCCCCCAGCAAGTGGTCTTGCAGTAATGGTTGCACTTTTTGGAAGAGTCGTGGAGACCAACCTCAGACAGATTCACCTTACATGTCATTGCCTGATTACTCTGCCCACTCAAACCCTCCTAGCAGTTCTGGGGAAAATGGGGAATGGAAACCCTGCCCAGCACCCCCATCTGTGTCTAGGCAGCTTTCTCAAGGCATCCAGGGCATTCAGCATGGGCTAAAGCCTTCACTCTCTGCACCTCCAACATACACTTTCTATCTACCCTGGCCTAAACGTTGGCATCAGGTATGAAAGAAATCAAGTCTTAGAAAGAATAGGTGGCAACTTCTGGGCCCTACACAGACCTTCTTCTAGTGCTCGTTTTTCATTTTGTTCTTCCTCCTGGGGAAGGGAAGCATGCCATGTCCATAAACAAGGACACTGAGGCTGGGTGGGACTTCCCATAGCCAAGAAGGAGCCACCACTGCCATGATGCCCCTTGTTCTGGCTGGGGAATCCACCTGCAGTACGACCTTCCATCCTCCAAGATTCTGGAGGACATTGAACCTGGAAAATAAGATGACTTGCCTCAAGTAGAAAGCACGTTGGAGGTAAATGCAGGTGTCACGCGTCCCGCTTATAGCTCTCATTTTCCATTTTGTTCTTCCTCCCACCTTGCCTATGGATTCTGGCCTATCAACCAGAACCCTGAGACTTAGTCCACACTCCAGCAAACACCTGGTAATATTCAGTAAGACTAAGGATTTGCTGGGGAGTCTGAGGGTCAGCAGCAGGTTTGGGTGCTTTGGAAACTGATCTTCCACCCCCTACCCCTCCAGAAGCCTGCTCACCCTCCTGCAGGGGAACGTTTCTTGGCCTTTGCTTTTAAGGAGGCATTTCATCTGCTTCTTCAGGGTCTCCCTTTCCTCTTGGAGTGCCAGGATCTCCTCATCCTTCTTCTGCATCTGTACCTCCAGATTGGAGAGACGCTGGATTTCTTCTCCCAGCATGAGCAGGCAGTGATTCTGGAAGAAAAACAGGGGCAGCCCCCATGGGCCACATAGCCACACAGTCTTCCCCCACCTCGCCTCCAGACACCTGCAGAACAGTAGATCCCAGACCAAGAGGAGCATATCTGCCTCCCTGGGACCACAAAATCCTGACACCAAGGCATGAATTTCCAGCCCTTTATTGCAGCCATGCCCCAGGCCTCCATTGCCTCTATAACTATACCAACAGAAGATCCTAGGTCCTCGTCCAAGGGAATTCATGGCAGCTCAAATTCTCAACTCACACAATTCTTCAAAATTGAAGGAAAAGAAGACTTTTTAGGCAAACAAAAACTGAATGTTTCACCAGCAGATCTGAACCTAAATACTAAAGGGAATTCTTCAAGCAAGAGGAAAATGACCCCAGACAAAATGTTCCAGAAGGAAAGACAATTAGAAAGGCTGGAAATAAAGTGATGGGCTTCTATTGTTGCCCATGGGTCAAAGAAAAAATCACAAAGGAAGTTAGAAAATATTTCACAGTGAATGTTAATGAACATTTAAACATGTCAAAACTTGTGGGAGGGTTGACCTCATATCCTGGTGGTTAAAGAAACCTAGTCCCACATGGCTGACCATAGTCGGATTCCAGCCCCAATGACTTGAAAAATATACCCGGCACATGTGTATGCATGCTCTACAGCCTAGAAGGATGGACAGATGGAGAAGGGATTGTGGTTTGACCATGCCCCTTAGGGGACATGTTTTCTCTCTCTCTTTCTCTTTCTCTCCCTCTCTCCCCTGGCAAACACATGCACCCTCTGGCAGTAAAAAGGAAAAACACAAAAGTGAGTTGCAGCTAAAGCTGTGAGTAAAGACAAATTTATAGGCTCACAATGAATGTTAGGGGGAGAAAGTATCCATCCAGAGAATTCAGAAAAAAGATAGGTTAGCTGTGGTACAGCAGCAATGCAATGTTCTGTGAGGCTGAACCCATATGAGAAAGTCCCAGTTCCAGAGGTCTCCTTGTACACTGCAGGCATGCACATGCCCAAGATCTGTGTTGGCTGATGCTGAACATTGAGAGTACTCTGAAGGTCCTGTTGGGAGTGCTGTTTCTCTCTTTCTGTGTATCTCTTGATCATGAAATGAATAAATTGATAAACTTTAAGAATTCAGGGGGACCAGCAGTTAGCGTAATGGCCATGTCGCTGGACTCCCATGTAGTTAACTGCGGTTCGAGTCCCGGACCCAGTGGCTTAAAACTCACGTCGGGCGCGTGTGTGTGCATGCCCAAGATCCAGAGAGGAGAACAGAGGAGAAGGGATTGCGGCATGGCCATCCCCCCTGGGGGGTGATTTCTCGCTTTCTGTCTCTCTGTCTCTCTCTGTCTGTCTGGTGAGCACACGTGCCCTATGGCAAAAAAGCTGAAAAAAAAAGAAAAGAAAAGAAAAAGAATTCAGGAAAAGAACCACAAATTAACTGTAAAGAAGATAGAAGGAAGAGATAATAAAGTTAGAGACAGAATTAATGATATAGGGACCGAAGAATGGAAGGAGAAGGAGAGGAAAGAAAAAAGCAGATATGGCAACAGTTAACATTTAGAGAGTCTAAGTGGCCCATCATAATTAATCATACTATTGTTAGTTTTTCTGTATGTCTGAAATACAAAGTTAAAGAGAAAAACAATAATGCAGAAATCATGTTTTATTATTTCAGCATAATGACTTTATTTTTGTTTGTTTCTTCTAGACTTTTGCCATAGGGCGTATGTGCTAATCAGAGATAGAGAGAGAAAAAGCAAGAAATCACTCCCCAGGGAGGATGGCCACGCTGTAATCTCTTCTCCATTTTCCTTTTAAGATTCTGGGCATGCACTCATATGCACCCAAAATGATTTTCAACCTGCTGATCTGGGACTTGAACTATGGTTGGTCATGTGGAACCCAGCTGCCTTAACCACCATACCACCAGCTGGCCCCTGTCCTTTCCTTCATAACGTGACCTTGTCCTATCCCCTAAGGTCCTGCTGGGTTCCCCACATGTGGCTCTACTGGTGGTCTTCTTTTAAAAAAGGGCTTGGGGAGGGCTCCCTGAGAAAAGCAGTAAAGAGGGACCAGCAGTTAACATAAGGGCTATGTCGCTGGATTCCCACGTAGTCGACCGTGGTTCGAGTCCCGTACCCGTCGGCTTAAACGCATTCCGGGCACGTGTGTGTGTATTCCCAAGATCCTGAGAGGAGAATGGAGGAGAAGGGATTGGGCGTGGCCATCCCCCCTTGGGGGGGGTGATTTCTTGCTTTCTGTCTCTCTGTCTCTCTCTGTCTTTCTGGTGAGCGCATGCGCCCTATAGCAAAAACCTCTCAAAAAAAAAAAAAAAAAAAGGAGGAAAAGGAAAGCATCTCCATTCCAGGAACTGGAACAATGATTTCTCAGCAGGTGGGATACTTAAAAACTGATCCTCAGGGGCTGAGCTAGAAGGAGAAGACAGAGGGGGCAAAGGATGGGGAAGAGCCAAGTGTAGGTAGGGATGACAGAAAAGCAAGAGGGGGGTGGGAGCCAAGAAGACATTGTCTCATTCATTTTAATCTGTGAAGCCGAAGTAGGGGTCTTGAGGTCATTTTACTCCATCCACATCAGGAGACCTCCTCAGCAGGCTAACCAGATTCTAGAACAAGAGCCCCCTTGGAGCAGAAGAGCTATCCTCTCAGGGAGGACGCAGAGTGAGGGAATGTAGGGCAGGGACTTGTGTCCCTCCTGGGTGTCTACCTTCTCGTGGATAACTGAGATGTACCAGGGAATCCTCTTTCTTGGGTAGCTCTGGGCTGCAACTGGGCTGCTGTTGACTGGATTCAAAGTCTGGGATTCACTTCTCTTCTGCAAATAATTGAACTCACAGGCACTCTTACTAAATGGAAGGAAACACCCTGTTGAGAAGGCAAGGGAGAAATTAGACCCTTCCCTGCTAAGCTCCTGTGGCATCTTCCATGATAATGTCCACCTTTTCAAGACTTCCCTGAGAACCCCTTCTCTACCCAGCTGGGCTCCTGTCTCCAAGTTCTTGTTACCTTGACATGAGAACATAACAATGGTGCTGGTGTGAATGTGATTGCATGCCTACACTTAGTCTCGTGCTTAGGGATGCAGCAATGTGCACAAGATCCCAGAATAATGGAGCCAGAGCGAGGGAGTCAGGACAAGCGGGGTCATCCTGATGCTGCCCTTATGCACTCAGTGATCCATCTTCTCCTTGTGCTTGAACTTTTCTATCTTTAAACTGAGGGCTGGATTATTCAAATCCCCCAGCCCAATGAGGGCAAGTCACTACAGCTTTGAGGTTTTCTTGAATTAAGGCAAAGAAGGAGACAACCCTGTGTGGATTGCATCTTTTGGTAAGTGACAGGAAGACTGTTTGTGTGTAGTGGCAGTGTTTTCTGAGGGTCTCTCCATCACATGGGTCCTGTGTAAGGAGAAGAGGACCAGGTGGAGAACAAAATCTGTAACTGTAGTTCTGTCAAAGATAAGGGACTGCTGTCCTGGGGCATTACAGCATCCATAGTCAGTGAAGGCAGAGCCAATTCTATAGAAGGGAACCTGGGGGCCCACCTCTGGGAATCTTCTGAAGACAGGTGATCCTGGGAAGGAATTCCATGAGGCATGGGCAGCTGCCCCTGGGGGCGGGGGAGTATGGCCCATGCTCAGGGCCTTGGCAGGTGCAGACTGAGGCCCGTGGGGCTTCCTCACCATCTGCATTCATGTCCAAGTTCCGCCTGCCAAAGAGCAGGTTCTCAGTCGTCCTCCAGATCTCAGACTGGATGCACACCTCCCTGGGCAAGTCAACTGCAGTGGGTGAGCCTGCAGAGTGTTAAAGATACCAACAGGGGACTGCTAAGGTAGCTTCCCAAGGTCTCCCAAACAGGGACTATTACGCTATTGATTTTTTAAAAGTTTATTTGCTAGAGGACACGTGCACTAACTAGAGAGCAATAGAGAGAGAGACAGAGAGGAAAAGTGAAAAATCACCCCCAAGGGGCATGGTCACACCATAATCCTGTCTCCTTTATACACCTCTTGGGATTTGGAGCATGTGTGCCCAACCTGGTTTTCAAGCTGCCAAGTCCAAGACTTGAACCATTGTTAACCCTGTGGGAATTCAGTGCCTTAACCACCACACCACCTGCTGGTCCCCTGTATTATTGATTCTTTTCTTCTTCTTTTTCTTTTTTTTTAGAATTATTTACTTTATTTAACTTTGTTATTATTATTTTTAAATTTGCTATAGGGCACATGTGCTCACCCGAGGGGAGGGGGAGAGAAAAGAAAGGGGGAGGGGAGAGAGAGAGAAAGTGAGAAAGCAAGCCACCAGGTCCAGGACCACAATTGGCCATGTGGGAGTTCAGCACCTCAACCACCATGCCACCTGTTGGCTCCTATAGTATTGATTTTTAAGCATTGGTACGGGTGAAAGTGACTTTTCTTGATGGATGGGTACATGGACTTGAACTACAGGGCTGAATCAAAGCCTGAGTGAAAAGCAAGAGGGGGGTGGGAGCCAAGAAGACATTGTCTCATTCATTTTAATCTGTGAAGCCGAAGTAGGGGTCTTGAGGTCATTTTACTCCATCCACATCAGGAGACCTCCTCAGCAGGCTAACCAGATTCTAGAACAAGAGCCCCCTTGGAGCAGAAGAGCTATCCTCTCAGGGAGGACGCAGAGTGAGGGAATGTAGGGCAGGGACTTGTGTCCCTCCTGGGTGTCTACCTTCTCGTGGATAACTGAGATGTACCAGGGAATCCTCTTTCTTGGGTAGCTCTGGGCTGCAACTGGGCTGCTGTTGACTGGATTCAAAGTCTGGGATTCACTTCTCTTCTGCAAATAATTGAACTCACAGGCACTCTTACTAAATGGAAGGAAACACCCTGTTGAGAAGGCAAGGGAGAAATTAGACCCTTCCCTGCTAAGCTCCTGTGGCATCTTCCATGATAATGTCCACCTTTTCAAGACTTCCCTGAGAACCCCTTCTCTACCCAGCTGGGCTCCTGTCTCCAAGTTCTTGTTACCTTGACATGAGAACATAACAATGGTGCTGGTGTGAATGTGATTGCATGCCTACACTTAGTCTCGTGCTTAGGGATGCAGCAATGTGCACAAGATCCCAGAATAATGGAGCCAGAGCGAGGGAGTCAGGACAAGCGGGGTCATCCTGATGCTGCCCTTATGCACTCAGTGATCCATCTTCTCCTTGTGCTTGAACTTTTCTATCTTTAAACTGAGGGCTGGATTATTCAAATCCCCCAGCCCAATGAGGGCAAGTCACTACAGCTTTGAGGTTTTCTTGAATTAAGGCAAAGAAGGAGACAACCCTGTGTGGATTGCATCTTTTGGTAAGTGACAGGAAGACTGTTTGTGTGTAGTGGCAGTGTTTTCTGAGGGTCTCTCCATCACATGGGTCCTGTGTAAGGAGAAGAGGACCAGGTGGAGAACAAAATCTGTAACTGTAGTTCTGTCAAAGATAAGGGACTGCTGTCCTGGGGCATTACAGCATCCATAGTCAGTGAAGGCAGAGCCAATTCTATAGAAGGGAACCTGGGGGCCCACCTCTGGGAATCTTCTGAAGACAGGTGATCCTGGGAAGGAATTCCATGAGGCATGGGCAGCTGCCCCTGGGGGCGGGGGAGTATGGCCCATGCTCAGGGCCTTGGCAGGTGCAGACTGAGGCCCGTGGGGCTTCCTCACCATCTGCATTCATGTCCAAGTTCCGCCTGCCAAAGAGCAGGTTCTCAGTCGTCCTCCAGATCTCAGACTGGATGCACACCTCCCTGGGCAAGTCAACTGCAGTGGGTGAGCCTGCAGAGTGTTAAAGATACCAACAGGGGACTGCTAAGGTAGCTTCCCAAGGTCTCCCAAACAGGGACTATTACGCTATTGATTTTTTAAAAGTTTATTTGCTAGAGGACACGTGCACTAACTAGAGAGCAATAGAGAGAGAGACAGAGAGGAAAAGTGAAAAATCACCCCCAAGGGGCATGGTCACACCATAATCCTGTCTCCTTTATACACCTCTTGGGATTTGGAGCATGTGTGCCCAACCTGGTTTTCAAGCTGCCAAGTCCAAGACTTGAACCATTGTTAACCCTGTGGGAATTCAGTGCCTTAACCACCACACCACCTGCTGGTCCCCTGTATTATTGATTCTTTTCTTCTTCTTTTTCTTTTTTTTTAGAATTATTTACTTTATTTAACTTTGTTATTATTATTTTTAAATTTGCTATAGGGCACATGTGCTCACCCGAGGGGAGGGGGAGAGAAAAGAAAGGGGGAGGGGAGAGAGAGAGAAAGTGAGAAAGCAAGCCACCAGGTCCAGGACCACAATTGGCCATGTGGGAGTTCAGCACCTCAACCACCATGCCACCTGTTGGCTCCTATAGTATTGATTTTTAAGCATTGGTACGGGTGAAAGTGACTTTTCTTGATGGATGGGTACATGGACTTGAACTACAGGGCTGAATCAAAGCCTGAGTTACATCTCCTGCCCACCATGGGCATGTCCACCTCAGCAGATCTGAAGCACTTAAGACCCTGCAACTGAGGCTATCTCTCTCCTGGAAGTGTATACTCCACTTTCCTTCAATAAAAACACACTTCCTGAAAGTCTTGCAGAAGCCCTTCTGCCTCTAGCCTAGCCCACCTAAAGGGCAGACCAATTTCCTCTACACCCTCATAAATCATGCCAGTGACCAGTGGGTGTTGACAGACTCCATACCCAGGATGCTGTGTGCCCTTCATCTACCCAGACACTGGCCCACAGCAGCTCATGGTCCTGGAGTGCTGAGAAGGCTGGGTAGTGGGAACCAGCAGTTAGCATAATGGCTATGTCGCTGGATTCCCACGTAGTCGACCGTGGTTCGCATCTCGGACCCGGTGGCTTAAAACTCACGCCGGGCGTGTGTGCGTGCGTGCCCAAGATCCCGAGAGGAGAATGGAGGAGAAGGGATTGTGGCGTGACCATCCCCTCTGGGGGGTGTTTTCTCGCTTTCTGTCTCTATGTCTCTCTCTGTCTGGCGAGCGCATGCGTCCTATAGCGAAAAACCTCTCCAAAAAAAAAAGAACGCTGGGTAGTGAAGCCTGAATCGGTTCAAGGGCTCTGCTTTTGCCCAACTGACTATAGTTTTGATTTGCATTTCCTTTAGCTAAGACCCATGGACAGGACTCCCCAACTCCATTGCTGGCCACAAACAATAAGGCTCAAGCTCACCATCCCTAAGGATAAACTTGTGTATAGGATATGGACAAGCCCAGATCTGGGAGCGGGATGTTAGCTCTGAGCAGTACTCCCTGGGTAAACACTGAGCTCGGCAGTTGCCTTCTCTGGGCTTCATGTCCTGCATCAGAGCTGCTAGGTGAGATGGATACCGAGGAAGCCCTCTCCCATCCATCCATCCACTGTATGTGCTGAACATACAAGAAGCCTCAGACTGTTGCCACTGCACATGGCTGAAGGATGTCAGGAAGACTTCTTGACACCAAGGGAGACAGGTGGCTTTCCAAGGTGTTCTTGGTTGGTGACTCTTACCATAATGGGTCACTGATGGCTCTTACCATAACGAGACATTGATGTAGACCTGGTGCTGAACTGAGGACAGCCAGGACGCATGAGGAACACTTTTTTCAGTTCCTCCATTTCAGACTCAAAGCCACTGGGACTCTTGATATTCTTGACTTTACTCTGGTAAAGTGAAAAAATAAAACAGTCACTGAGAGGCAAGACTCAGTATGCTGCTCTTCTGTTGCAGATTGGAAGGCCCTTGTGTGTGTGCCATCTCTCCTGGCATGCTAGAATGTGCAGCAAGTGCCATATGGCCTACTCCACAGTTGGCGAAGTCCAGGCAATGCATCCATTTAGGAGGCCCCAGGTGTCTGGGGCGACTGTCTCAAGGCTCCCAGTGTGTGATGGATGCTTTCGACCTCCTCAGTGGTACCTCCCTTCACTCTCCTTTCCAAGACACCCTCAGTAAGTCTTGGGGAAAACTGCATCTTCTCTCCTGGATGGGGGTTTGACTTCCTCCTCTGGGCCTGGCCAGTCAGAGAAAGCAAAAGCCAAGGTCTGCAGGGGGTGGGGGCGGGGTGCAGAATAAGCCTGATGTATCCAGTGCCCTAGCAGAAGCCTATAAAGTTCAGGAACTGAGGCACCAGGCCCTTAAAAAAATGGAGGGATGCATGAAAAGAGCAGGGTGCCCTATTCTTAGACTGTCTGGAATCACCTGCTAACCCATCTCCAAAATGCCTATGAAATGCTCTATGGGCTGGCCACTCTGTAAAACTTCTAGGAAAGCAAGAGAAGTGGGCTGTGTGTGGCTGACCTTCCTCCTCTAACCCCATACCATCTTCCTGTAGTAGCGGTTGATGGCCTGCACCGACTTGCTTTGGAACCACTGGTTTCCATGCAGCTTCTGTTCTAGGTTCTGGGCACCCCGACTGGCCACGCTCTGGAGGACCATCAGGCCCCTGGCAATTGAGTTGAATGTTGAATTGTGTCTCTCTGATTTTCTGCCTTCCTTAGGTAACATCAGGACAGTGGGACAAAAAGGCCAAAGTTTGCCACCTAAATGAGGATATAGGTCCTGGCCACTCCTATGACCCTCTCTTCAGTCTGGCTCAGGGTGTCAAAAGGAAAAAAGGCCTTGAGTGTGGATGAGCTAACCAATACAGGCAGGAAAAGACTAGTTTCCAAAGCTCCACATCCTGTGGGATTCTGGGAGCAGTGTGTGTGGCATCACAGATGTCTCCATAGAAACAGGGCATGTCATTTCGTCTCAGTTTCCTACAATTAGGAAAAGGCACTGAGAAGGGTACCCAGAAATTGTTCCCTCTACATCTCAGTATGTTACAGTAGAATTGGCCTGAGGCATAGTAACCCATCTTATTTTCTGTTTTTTGTTTGTTTGGTTTGGTTTGGTTTTTAATCTTCATCATCAGTATTTCACCTTATTTAAAATCTAATACTGTATTAGTGGCTTTGTTATGAAAACATTAACATCTTTGGTTAAAAATCCACAATTTAGAAGTATTTTTTAAGAGATATTTTTACTATAGGGTGTGCATGCTCACCAGCGAGATAGAGAAAAGTGAGAAATAACCCCCTAGTGGGGATGGCCATGCCTCAATTGCGTCTCTTCCATTCTTCTGTCAAGATTTTGGGCATGCATGCAAACACACTCAGTGTGAATTTCAAGCCTCTGGATTTGGGACTCGAACTGTGGTTGGCCATATGGGAGTCCAGCACCTTAACAACTATGCCACCTGCTGGCCCCCTTTAGAAGTATTTTTAATGCTCCAAAATTTCATTCTTTTTTAAAAATAGAACTAGGGGTGGAGGGAAAGACCTCTTTCAAAAAAGACTCATTAGTATTTATTTTATGTGTGGTTAAATACACATAATATAAAATATATCATCTTAAATTTTCAAGTATAGAATTCAGTGGCACTAAGTACATTCACACTGGTGTACAACCATCACCAGCAGATGGTACAACCATCACCACCATCCTACACTAAAATTTTCTATAATAGGTATGAGGAAGTATCTGGTTTTGATTTGCATTTCCCTAATGATTAGTGATGTTGACCACCTTTCATGTGCTTGACAGCCATTTGTATATCTCTGCTGGAGAAATGTCTGTTCAAGTTCTTTGCCCATTTAAAAAAGTCTTTAGGGCCAGGAGGTGGCATGCTGATTATGGCACTGAACTCCTACACGGTTGATCACAGTTCAAGCCCTGGACCTGGTGACTTGCTTTCCCACTTTTCCTCTCTCTCTCATTTTCTCTCTCTTTCTCTGGTGAGTGCATTTTCTCTATAGCAAATTAAACATAATAATAATGATAAATAAATCATAAAAGAAAAATTATTTTGTGTGTTTTTTGTTGTTGCTAATTTTTATACAGATTTTTTTAGAATATATATATATATATATATATATATATTCTGTATACTAATCTCTTATCAGATAGATGAATTACAAATATTTGTTTCATTCTGTGAGTTACTTCTTTCTCTGTTGATCGTATCCTTTCTTTAATGCACAAAAGCTTTAAATTTTCATGAAATCCAATTTATCTATTTTTTTATTTTTTTGCCTGCTAAATCTAACATCATAAAGATTTTGCCCTATACCTTCTTTTTTATTAATTGCCAGAGGACATGTGTGCTCATATGAAAAAGAGAAAAAGAGAAAGAAAGCACTCCTTAAAGGGACACGGCCATACACTAATCTTTTCTCCATTTCTTCATTCTGTCAAGATTTTGAGCACACATGCACATGTGCTGGCATGTTTTTCCAGCCATAAAAGCCAGGATTTGATCTGGTTTGGTCAAGCGGGATCCAGGTTCCTTAAGCACTAGACTACAGGGCTGACCTCTTTAGGTTTTCTTATAAGAGTTTTGTAATTTCCACTCTTATGTTTAAGTCTTTGATACATTTTCAGTTAGTTTTGTATATGATATAAAATAAAAGCCCAAATTAATTTTTTTTAACTGCCAAAGGGTGTGTGTGCTTGCCAGAGAGCAAAAGTATCATCCAATGGGATGTGGTTATGCCACATTCCTTTTTCTTCCATTTCTATATCCCATCAGGAGTTTGGGCACACATGCACAAACACCCAGCATGTTTTTCAGGCTGCCAGGGTCAGGACTTGAAATGTAGTCAGTCATGTGGAATCCAGTTCCCAACGCGCAGTGCTTAACTACTGCAGTACAGGACCAGCCCCCAAGTCTATTATTTCACATGTGGTTATCCAGTTTTCTCATCACCGTTTGTTGAAAACACTGTCCTTTCTGCATTGAATGGTCTTGGAGCCCTTGTCAAAAATCATTTGACGATGTATGTGAGGTTTGTTTTGGGCTCTCTGTCCTATCTATGTCTGTCCTTACACTAGCACCACACTATGTTCATTACTGTAGCTCTGTGGGAAGTTATTAAGTCCGGAGGTGTGAGTCTTCCAACCTTGTTCTTTTCCAATATTTGGGGTCCTTTGAGATGCCACATATATTTTAGGATGGATTATTGCAAGTTTTTATTTATTTATTATTTTCTTTCCAGAAGATTTTTGCTCTAGGACATGTGTGTTCACTGGAGAGGCAGAGAGAGACAGAGAGAAGGTGAGAAATCACCACCCAGGGAAACCCCTTCTCCTCCATTCATTCTCCACTCAAGATTTTGGGCATACAGGCACACATACCCATTGTGAGTTTCAAGCCGCCAGGCCTAGGACTTGAACAGTGGTAGGCCATGTGGAGGTCCAGTGACATAACCATTATGTCATTTGCTTGTCCCAAGATTATTCCAAGTTTTTAAAACCTCACTCTCCCAGATTTTTAGACACACAGACTTAGGACTTGAAAAGGAAATTATGAAATCATGTTGGTGTTGGCCCACCGACATCATCAATAGCAAACTGGCATATTTAGTAGCAAACTGAATTGTAGCGTTGAAAGCCACAAGGTTGACTGTGATTCATATCCTTGGGTGGACTTGAAAATGTGCTGGATAGGTGCATGTGTGTCCTCTGTGAGCTGGAGGGCGGGGGAAATGGGAATTGCAGTGTGACAAGATCCTACGAAGGTTTTTTTTCCCTCTCTCTCTCACTTGCTCTCTGTTGTGAATAAAATACTTTTAAAAAGAAGGAAGTGGCCCATAGCTAGCACCATACTGAAAGCTCTTCTGACTAAAAACTGAAACAAGACAAGATTGTCCACTTTCTCCACTCCTTTTCAACATAGTACTAGAAGTACTAACCAAAGAAATCAAATAAGAGAGTAAAATAAAATGAATTCAACTAGGAAAGGAAAAAGCGAAAGTATCCCTAATTGCAAACAATATAATTATATACATAGAAAACCCAAAAGAATCCATGAGAAAAAACAGACTGGGACTGAACTGAAAAATACAGTCCCATTTACAATAGGCGCTCACACACAAAAATACCTAGGAATAAATCTAACCAAAGAGATGAAAGACCTCTCAAAGAAAAACTATGAAAAACTGAAGAAAAATATTGAATATCACACACACACACACACACACACACACACAAAGACACACATTGTTCTTTAAAGGAATCAGTATAATAAAAATGTCAATTTTACTCAAATTAATTTACAATTCAATGTGATTCTAATCAAATTATCAGTGACATTCTTCACAGATATAAAAAATAATCATAAAATTTATCTGGAGTCATAAAAGACCTCATATCACTAAGCCAATACTGTGTAAAAAGACTAACATAGGAGGCATTTCACTACCTGGCTTTAAAATATATTACAAAGCTATGAAAACAGCATAAAACAGACACACAGACCAATGAAACAGAACAGAGATTCCAGAAATAAGCCCTAAAACATAGAACCAACTAATTTTTCTAATTTGACAAAGAATGCGTGCAATTTTCGGAAAGAGAGAGAGAGAGAGAGAACCGCCAGAGTGGCTGGCCACGCTACAATCCCTTCTCCATTCTTTCGGGATTTGGGGCATACATGCACACGCATCCAGCATCTTTCAAGTCACCAGGTCTGGGACTTGAATCATGCAGCCACCTTAAGCACCACACATACGGGCCCTCCAACTGATTTTTGACAAAGAATATAAGGCAATAAAGTGGAGAAGAGAAAGTCTTTTCAGCAAATGGTGCTGGAAGAACTGAATTTCCAGCTGCAGAAAAATAAAACTAGATTCCTATCCCTCACCATTAACAAAAATCCACTCAAAATGCATCAAAGATCTACATGTAAAGCCTTAAACTATAAAACTACCTGTGGAAAACACAGGGAAAACACTTGAAGACACTGGACTAGGCAACTATTTCTTAAATAAGACTCCTACAGCACAGGCAACAATTCAAAAACTAGACAAGTGGGTTACACCAGGCTATAAAGCTTCTTCACAGCAAAAGAAACAATGAATAAAATGACAATCCACAGAATGGAAGAAAAGATTTGCAAACTATACTTTAGAAAAGTGGTAGATAACCAGGATGTATAAGGTACTCAAGCAGCTCACCCACCCAAAAAATGAATAATCCAATTTAAAGAAGGGCAAATGAGTTGAACAGGCAACTTTCTATGGAAGACATACTAATGTCAAAAAGCATATAAAAATGTTCAATATCTATCATAAGGGAAATTCAAACCAAAACTACAAGCTATCACTTAACTCCAGTCAGAAGTGCTATGATCAGAAAAAGAAAGAATGACAGGAACTGGTGAGGTTGTGGGGGAAACCAGCCTATACTGTTAGTGAGAATGTAAATTAGTACAGACACTGTGGAAAATAATTTGGAAGCTCTTAAAAAATCTGCAAATAGGACCAGCCCATGGCATGGTGGTTAAGGCAGCCGTTTCCCACATAGCTGACTATGTGGTCAGATCCTGGACCATGCAGTCAGTTGCTCGAAAAACACACCAGGTATGTGTTCATGCATGCCCAAAACCATGAAAGGAGGGTGAAATGGAGGATAAAGGATGGTGGTGTGACCATTTCCCATAGAGGATCCTTTCTTACTTTCCCTCTCTCTCTTTCTCTGTCTCTCTCCAGTGAGTACAGGCTCTCTCTGAAAAAAGTTTAAAAAAAAAAAAAGAACAAAAATCTATAAATAGGGACCAGCAGTTGGCATAATGGCTATGTCACTGGACTCCCATGTAGTTGACTGTGGTTCAAGTCCCGGACCTGGTGACTCAAACTCACGTCAGGCGCATGTGCATGCGTGCCCATGATCCCAGGAGGAGAATGGAGGAGAAGGGATTGCAGTGTGGCCATCCTCCTTGGGGGGGTGATTTCTAACTTTCTGTCTCTCTGTATCTCTCTGTCTTTCTGGCGAGCACATGTGCCCTATACAAAAAACCTCTCCAGAAAAACTCTGTAAATAGAAACTTCTATGACCCAGTAATCCCACTCCTGGGTACTTACCCAGATAGGAAAACAGAAAGACACTTGGATAGTCATGTTTGTTGCAGCATTACTCACAATTGCTAAGACATGGAATCAACCTAATGCCTAAAAACTGATGACAGGATTGATAAAAACGTGGCACATAGACACTATGGAATACTACTCAGCCATAAAGAATGGCAAGACTCTGTCAGTGATTCAAAGTGGATGAATGTAGAAGATTTAATGCTGAGTGAAATAAACTTGAGTATGAAGGGTAAACATTGTATAGCCCTATACAGTCTATACCAAATGTCTACACTCTGTGGCAGAAATGGAAAGATTTGAAGATATAGTAGTAGGGAGGGCAAGTGTAGACACCAGAGACTGTTTGGGAGGGGAGAGAATAGTGGAGGATGAGTGGGAGGGGCTCAGGGAAAAAGCATTTACCAGACACAAGAATGTAAGGTTCTTTGTTGAAGATGATGTATATAATATATCCTTGATTTGATTGTCACACATCACACGCATGTTTTGAAAAACTATATTGTGGGACCAGCAGTTGGCATAATGGCTATGTTGCTGGATTCCCATGTAGTCGACCGTGGTTCAAGTCCTAGACCCGGTGGCTTAAACTCATGCCAGGCACATGTGCGTGCATGCCCAAGATTCCAAGGGATTGCAGCATGGCCATACCCCCTGGGGGCTGATTTCTCGCTTTCTGTTTCTCTGTCTTTCTGGCGAGCACATGCACCCTATAGCAAAAACCTCTCCAAAAAAAAAAAAAAGAGAGAGAAAAACTATATTGTACACCATAAAGATATATAATAATTAAATGTAAATAAGAAATCATATAAAAAGCGAGAGAGATACATGTCTTCAAAGACATATGTAACTAAGAGGTTCATTGGTTGGAGTAGGAAGAAGGGCTTCTTTGCTTGCTGGCTTAGGAAATTGATGATCCCATCCCTTTCAATGTAACTTTATTTTTAAAAATGCAATTTTTTTAATCTAAATATGAAATTACAAAACAAGTCTATTACATATTTGAGCTTTTGATAGGTTTATTTTAATAAGAATTAGAGTACTTTACCAATCTCTAACTTTGAGAAATAATTCTTACCTTGTTGATTTCTCTTCTGGTAATTATTTTGGAGATTTTTGGATGTAGCTCCTGATTGCTTTGGGACATGGATCACATGAAATGTTACCAACTGAGCCTGAGGCCCAACGGTTTGAAAATCAAATACACACCCTTTGAAAACAATGTGAGGACAAAGGATTTGTTTTTTGAAACAAGTTTTAATAAAATCAATGCGACAATAAAAAATAAATGTAAAAAAATCATATACAAGGGGACTCAAACTCAAAAAGTTTGTGGAAAAATGGAATTAAAGTATGAGTTTTTCTTGGCACACACAAAAAAATTGAAACCCATGCATAGTTTTTTTTCTTCCATACAATACACATTTTCAATTAACTTTTTTTGGAGAGTTTTTTGCTATAGGGTGTGTATGCTCACCAGAGAGACAGAGACAGAGACAGAAAGAAGAAGTCACCTCTCTAGGAAGATGGTCATACCACAAGTCCTTCTCCATTCTTCTCAGGATTTTGAGCATGCATGCACACAGGGCCGGCATGAGTTTCAAGCTAATGGGTCTGGAACTTGAACTGCAGTCGACCATGTGGGAGTCCAGTGCCTTAACCACTATGTCACCTGGTGGTCCCAACCATTAACACTTTTTTTAATTTCCAGAGGGCACGTGGGCCTGCCAGAGAAACAGAAACAGAGGAGAAAGTACCCCTACTAGTGTTGTACCCCATTCGCAAAATTCCCGAGACCCCAAGGAGCCGATTCTGATGTAAACACACAAGGGTTGCTTTATTCAATCTTACCGGAGGCACAGCGGAACAGCGGGGTCAGAGTTGAGAGCCCTGCATGTTAGTTGGACTGGGCTTTTATTTGGCTGTTGGTGGGGGAGGTAGAGGGGTGCTGAGGAATGCACTCAGGCAGCTACACATTGGCTGTAGATTACAGGGAGTGTAGCTGTCTCTGGTAGCTCCTTTGTTTCTCTCAGCAAAAAAGTTACTTTAGGTTTCTGGTATCTCCTTTGTGTCTCTCATTGGTCAGTCCCGGTAGGGTGATGGTCTCATGACTTTTTCCTATGTGATGGGCTCACCTCCTTGAAGTGGCACCAATTTTCAGTAAGGTGGGTTTGACAATATGGAGTCGCCGGGAAAGAAATGGGAGTCACTCTGGCCCTTCAATAGAGCTCCTTTTAAGTTGTGCTGCAATCCTTTTCCTCCATTTCTCCATCCTGCCTGAATTTGAGCATGCCCTATGTCTTTCAACCCCCAGAGCTGGATTTGAGCTACAGTGGGACATGTAGGCTCTGGATCCCTTAATCAGGTCATCCCATGAACATTTCAAAGACTCCCTTGTATATTGTCTTCCTTTATTTTTACACTGGTCTTTCCATTTCAGTTTAACGAGCTCCTAATATACTAAAACAGTAAAGTAGATCTCTGGTTCAGTTAACAGAAACTCATACGGACAGTTCAATCAACAGAGAAGCCAATATCACATATAAAAACATCTTGGAACCAGCCTTTAATTGAAATAAACAAACTGAGGCTTCAGGCCTTGTTACTTCATGAGAAAATGGCTTGATTCCCCCCAAATTTAGAGTACTTATGGAATTGGCATAATGCTGGCTAGTGGCGCCAGAAAACGGATCTGTAAAAGCGGGAAACCTTGGACATGTCGCGGGATTGGGGAGGGGTGTGGGGACCGTGTGCCGGCGTGCGTGTTAGCCATGGGTATTTCTGGCTGCAGCCCAAATGTCTGAGAGCAAGGCATAGGTCCCCTAGTGCAAAAGCCAAGGAGCTAGAGAAAGGTACATTTGCGTCTGTTTGCAGGCACCCACAACCCCAGGAGCCATCGTAAGCTTGGCATCCCTTGCCTGAAACCCACACCTGCCGCAGACGACGCGTGTGCTCCTTTACTCACGGAACAGCAACGTGGAGTTTCAGGGCCTTCATTAATAAAATCCAAGTAGAAAGTCCAATACTAAAAAGCATATGGTTTTTGATTATTTAAAAAGAAATTTTAATTGAAAATTTAATTTTTGCAAAGCCAAATTAAGAGCACAAAGGCCTCTTGTCGATCAGGGAAATCCTGTGGGGAGATACTAGGCCCAGAGATAACCTGGCCAGAGAAACAGCCCGAAATTCAGGGTGACAGCGCCCTCTGGAACTGGCCAGATCTCCGCTCCGCGCCCCGCCCCGGCCCCGTCGGCCACCAGAGCCCCGCCCCTCAGGCCTGGCCCACGCCCAAGACTCCGCCCTGTGTCCAAGGCCCCGCCCCACCGCCGGAGCCCCGCCTCCGCCTCATTTCCACGGCTCCGCCCCCGCTCCCGG